GCTTGCCTAGAATAGGCAAAGCCCTGGGTTTGATTTGCCAGCACCACAAAAGAACTGTATGTACAATGTGCTACATCTACTTGTGTTATAAAAAGAGAGAGAGAGAGAGAGAGAGGGAGAGAGGGATTATATACATATATTTTATATCTGGAAGGCTATACAGAATTATTTACATTAATTGCCTAGGCGGGTAAGGACCTGTCTTAAAAATAAAAAAAAGAAGAAGAGGAAGAAGAAAACCATTGCATTAATATAGTATATCTTAAAGCAAAGTGTATTACCTGCAGGGACTGACATCTGATCTAAAAATGCAAGTCCTTTTCTCCACAAATGTTTATCTTTATGTATAATGAAAGTTAATTGTCAAGTTAGTCATTAAAGACCACCAAAATAGTCATAAACTAAAACTGGCATGTCAATAACACTTTCTGAGGACCCTGATTTGGACTCTGCAGAGGAAGTCTGGTTGCCACTCTGTGCTTACCAACAGTAGAATTTCTCCTCCTATATACACAAATCCCTAGTGGGAATTTCCTCATTTGGGGAATTCATTCAACCACTAGAGCTACCAATTGCTTATCATATGTCAGATACTGTGCAAAGCACTAGAGACAAAGTAATTTACAAAAGGACTAAAGTTATCCTCTGGTGGGTTTAGAATTCTGGTGGGGGAGGAATATAAACAATATATAAAATCATATGCACTACATTTCATTAATCCTACAACTCACATTTTGCTACCATTTTATAAAACCTAAAATTGGAATGTATCTTTTGGTAGAACACACCTTACAACTGGCAGGGTTTGTTTGTTTTTGTTTCTTTCTCTGAAGTATACTTGACAGTGTAGCAGATCCAATGAAATATGGGAATTTTTTTTTTTGGTACCAGGGATTGAACTCAGGGGCACCAAACTCCTGAGCCACACCCCAGCCCTATTTTGTATTTTATTTAGAAACAAGTTCTCACTGAGTTGCTTAGCACCTCGCTTTTGCTGAGGCTGGTTTTGAACTCATGATCCTCTTGGAGCTTCAGCCTCCCCAGCCACTGAAATTGCAGGCATGTGCAACCGCGCCTGGCTTGGAAAATATTGTATAGAGAAAATGTATCAGACAATAAGTATTACAGAGAAAAAATTAAGTGGAAGAGAGGGAGACAGTATGAGAAGGCTGCAAGTTAGAACATTCAGGAAAGACCTATGTAACATTTGAGCAGCCCCTAGGGTGAAAGAGTCATACCTCCGTGTGGATAGAGTAGTAAGCATCACAAACACAGGAAGAACAGTGTAAGGGCCAAAAGGGCAGAGAGGCCAGAATATGTAGGGTCTTGTAGGCTACCTTCCACTTAGCGTATGATCACTGTCTCAAATATAGAGAGGTAGGATAATGTAATACGCAGGAATACAGGCTTTGGAGCCAGACTGCCAATTTATGTACAGCTCTGCCACTTTCTAGTGGTACAACATTGGTCAAGTCACTCTCTTGACCTGTTTCTCCACCTATAAAACAGGACTAACGACTCTATCCATCTCATAGGCTTGTTGTAAAGATTAAGTAAATTATTTTATGTAAAGTACTTTGAACAGAACCTATCACATGAAAAGTACTACATTTTTGACATTGTGATTTTTTGATTAGTCATGAATTTTGACAGCTGCTTCATCATTATCTGTTTATTTTGTTGTATGCTGTTTCGTTAGCTGACAGTAATGCATAATTGTATCAACAATGTTTTTGGACACCAATTTTCTAGTAACTAGTCTTTTAAAACCTGTATATGATGTATTTCAAACACCAATTATCATTTCTACTCATTTTCCTAAGTAAATATAGACAGCATTCCACCCCACTGCCTCCTCCCAACTAAAAATCTTACACAATAATATTTCATTGTTTTTGCTGAGTTTTCCACTGGAGGTTATGAAAGGATGGGGAAAGTAGACCACTGAAAGAAGCAATTTTTAAAAATGGATTATCAATCCAATGGATTCTGTTAAATGATCTGTCGGTTTTGGTTTGGGAAAAGGAAAATCATTATTTTCTCAAAATTTTGGATTATGTATATTGTAATGATTCATGGCAATATATCTTGAATGCTTAGATTTATGAAAGTCAGAAGTATAATAGTGTATGTCAGAGAGTCACAACTTTTTCATATCGTCCTTTATTTAACAAATGGTTCTTGAGCAATTACCATGTTAAGAATTATGTCAGATAATGAAAGAAAACAAACAAAATAAGATGTGGTTTCCACTATAAAACCAGTGCAAGTGGATTAATATGTAACATTCTTCCTGTTAAGTAAGGAGTCCATTTCATGCTTGTCCATTAGTAGTGATGCTTCATTTCCCTTTCAGACCTTAATTGGGGGACAAATTAGACATTGTACCCTCTCTGCCTCTTCTTGAGGCCAGTAGAGAGCAGATCCACCAGTTCTTAAAACGCAGACTGAGTGCTGCCAGGGGATTTTGGGTGGCTCCAATTTCATCACCTCTGTACCTAATTGTTCGTTACTTCTGCCCGTAGTCCCTCCTGCTCAGGGGATGCTGTTACGTTAGGGTAAAAAAATGGGTCAAATGAAGAAAAAGTCATAATAAGCTGTTACTACTATACTCACCAAAGTTTAAAACAAAATAGGATATTTTGACAAGGCTGGTACCTTAAAACAACTCTGCTAAATTGTCTAGGTACTGTGTTTTATTACCAAATAATAGGAGGAATAGATACTTCTGAGTGTCCCTCCATCTAAAGAGTTCATCCCTGATGATGGGGTGCAGTCAGGCTCAGGGATGGGTAAGGCTTAGAAACTGGGTGAGGTTCTTTGTACATACTACTTGATATTAAAAATGCTGAGCATTTATTGGTTACTCTTTTTAGGGTGCAATAAAATACCCCATGGAAAATGTCTGAAGCGAAATGTCAGATTCTAGTTTTAAACTGCAGGATAGCATACAGTATCTTGGGCAGTCTTTCTTTTTCTAATTTTTTAAGGCATTTAATCTTTATTTTATTTATTTGTTTTTATGTGGTGCTGAGGATTAGAACCCAGTGCCTCACACATGCTAGGCAAGCACTCTACCACTGAGCTACAACCCTAGCCCATCTTGGGCAGTCTTCCCCTACCATTTTTCAAAGTCTCCCAGGTGAAAAACCTTAGCACTAAAAAATTAAACGTTCACCATAACCTTCATGGTGTGTATTCTCTACAATTCCACTTCACAGATTACGAACAAACAAAAAAAAGACCCTCTTTCTCAGCATAATATTCATATACTCTTTTGATGATTTATTCATTTATCCATTAATGCCACCTTTTATAAGACAGTGTTAAGCAACAGAGATATAAAAATGGATAACATGGTCTGGCCATTAACAGTTTGATTTAACAATTTTTTTATTGAGTACCCACCATGTATTAAGATGTGAGCATGTACATATGCATCCAGGTTTCAAGGAAGCTTTCAGGAGATGATGCTAGAGTTGAGGCTTAAAGAATTAACAGGCATTTGCCTAATTAAGAGGACAAAGGGGAAGGGCATACTGAGACAAGAGAAAAAAAGCCTAGGATACATGGGGGAGGCAGGAGATGGAAAAGTAGGCAGGAGTCAGATCCTAACAGGCCTGTTAGGAGTTTGGATTTTATTACAGAAAATGAGAAACCACTGGAGGATTTTAAGAAGAATTTTAAGAAGAATCCAACTAAGGAGTTTGGATTTTATTACAGAAAATGAGAAACCACTGGAGGATTTTAAGAAGAGGACTGACACGGACAGATGTTTGGTAGACTGGAGAATGCACTGGAGGAAAGCCAGGGCTGAATGCAGACAAACTAGTTAGGAGGCTATTGCTGTAATCTCAGCGAGAAATGACGAGAAGAATATAAACAGTCAGAGGCAGAGCGGACCAAGAGCAGAGGACCTATTTGAGAAATATTTTATAAATAGAAATCTTACACCTGACTAACTGATTGGACATGTGGGGGTGGAAAGCCAAAGTCTTTTCTCCCGGTTTCTTTCTTCTGGCTTAGGCAATTATTTAGACAGTAGTACTACTGAATATGGCAGGGCAACGCAGTAGAAGCGAATTGGTTTTTGGTTTTTTTCTTTAAGGGAGGCTGGGGAAAATGACGAGTTCAATATTAAATGTTGCATCTGAGACCTGTAGGGAATCCAAGTGAAGAAGTGCATGAGTCAATTAGTTGACTGAGCTTTCTCGTCTCAAGAAATTTACAAGATCATTCCAGAAACGTGTACCTGGAAACCTCACAGAATAGGCATTTTTCTGATTTGGAAAGATGACATTTTTGCATGTTTAAAAAACACTGAAAAGATTGCGCTAATAAAACATGGTTCCTCGCTGCCAAACTGACACTAAACAAAAAAATTATTTCTAATTTCTGATTTCTTTAAGCTAAATGCAGGTTGCGATGGGTTGCTTCCTTACAACACTTGAAAATTAGCGGTGTGCGGGGTGCTTCGATCTAGGAATTCCTTTTAGCAGGTTTGAATAGCAAGAGCTGAGAAACGCGCCCTCCAGTGGCAGTGGAATGAGGGGTCTCTAGCACCCTTTTTACCACCAAACAAAGCCCTGTAAAGAAATGCAATTTATGGGACCTCACAAGGCCAAAAAGCTCGTGCTTCTAAACCGAAAAACCAAACGAATCCTCCCAGGGTGGGGACTCCCTTACCTGTCACGTTGGCCGAAGGAAAATTTCACTTTCGACTCAACAAAATAAGACCCAGATTTGATAGCTTGCAGTAAGTCCCGTTCGGCGACAACTGAACACACTGCGAGCCAAAACGCGTAGTCTAATCACATTCTCTCCAGCCGGCAGGGCTGGATTTCGACCACGTGGGTGGCTGTGGCCAGCTAGAACGATCCGCGAAGGGAGGGAGAGGAGGAGTGTCCCTGCAGCGGGAGGCGGGGCCTGACCAGTGGGCGGGGCTTGCCGGGCCGCTGCTACTGGGCTTCTTTCACCTCCTCTCCCCTTTTGCCTTCGCCCTTCGAGCCGCCACGTAACGCCACGTCCCCGCGCCTGCGCATCTCGGCCGGCGGCGGCGGCTGTTTCCGGGCTTAGGCAGCAGGAGCGGCCGCCGAGTGGGAGGTGGTGGTGTCCCCGGCCGAGAAGTGCAGAGTGTGGGCTAGGGGTACAGGCCCTGCAGAAGGCAGGGGAAGTTGCCCTATTTTCTTTACCCAAGGGGCTGGTAAAGCCGGTGGCCGAGCGACAAGATGAATTTCCTCCGCGGGGTAATGGGGGGTCAGAGTGCCGGACCCCAACATACCGAAGCCGAGACGGTGAGAGGAGCCGCGGGTCCGGGACTTGGGAAGGGTCAGAGCCACGAGGGGACGAAGCACTCAGGGGCTTGGAGGTGACCTGCCGCTCCCCACTGCGGGCCGGCGATCCACATACCACCTCCCCTTTGCCTTCCTTCCCCTCCCGAAATTCCGGAGTTAGTCTCACGCCCACAGCGCAGTCCCACCGCGACGGCTCTGCTGGATTGACAGCAGCCGAGTTCCTAGTCTAGCAGGCCTAGCAGCTCTGGCGTGGGGAGTGGTCTGCGGTGGGAGAGATCCCCGGCTGAGATGGCACGACCTGTCCCCCACGCCCCTAGGGGCCGTGGGCTCCTCCCCATTTCCCTTTAGCCTTGTATCTCCACTGGCCATAGGAGCCTAAAGTCCTGTTGCCTCACTCGCAGTCTGAAATCTGGGCGTTGGAGAAGACTGGAAAGAGATTTAAAACCCAGCTGTTGGCAAGAGCTTGTGGCTAAGAATAAAATGATATTCATTGGGGCACAAAGCCACCTGCTCCTGTCCCATCAACTGGAAGGACGGTTGTTCATCCCGGTGCTATCTGTTCAGACCCCGCTTTTCAGGCTGACCCAAAAATGTCATTTGACAAATACTTGTTTTAATGTTTATAAAAACCCCTCCAAAACCACTTTGAGGACAAAATTCATTCCTATTTTCATGATTTGCAACATCATTTTTAAAAAAGAGTGTTTGCCACCTAAAACAATTATTTAATAGCTACATGGATTTTTAGGCTTGGGATAAACTCGTTTGAAGTTTGGTGTCTATTGGAAATGGATGTGTATGACTTTTTAAAATTTATATTTGTTTTAATTTGGTAATAATTTAAAATCTACAGAAAAGCTACCAACTGTGACATTTTAGAGGTAAACTTTGGATAGAGTCATGAACACCTTTGTTACTGGGTTCCTGAAGGGTAATAATAGTAGCTTTCATTTGTCAGTCTCTTAACTTGCCTTAGATACTATGCTGATCTCTTTATATTCTACATTCTCCTTTAATTCCTAACAATTCTTGATGAGTGGTAATGGTATTCTCACTTCACAAATGAAGAAAATGAGGCTTAAAAAGAGAAGTGAAGTAAACTGACCAAGACTTTAGAGCTAGAATTCAACCAAGGTGTAGATTTCAAAGCCTAAATTTTATTGCTGATGCTCATGTTTCAGTTATTATGTGGGAAATTTATGTAATAAAGTTAACTGCACAAAAACTGAGGTAGACTTTTTTGTTTTTGGAGGGGCAGTGCTGGGGATCAAAACCAAAACCTTAACATGCTAGACAAGGGTTGTACCACTGATCTAGATTAGTTCCAGGTTAGAACTGTTTTTTGGGGGAGGGGGTTGTGTGTGGGGCACACTGGGGACTGAACCCATAGTCTGATTTATAGGAGGCAAACTCTTTACCACTGAGCTACATCTCCAGACTCCATATTAGAACTGTTTAAGGCATAAGTAGAAGGCTGGTGACTCTTTGCTTCAGTTGAAATTCAGGACATATCTGTGTCTGACTTCCTCTGTCCCCCTCCACTCCTCTCCTCACAGTGTTTGCCTTCACATAAGGCAGTGAGCTACCTTATTAGAAGACCATGTTCTTTAAAGATTACCAAAGTCACAGCCCACTTCTTCAGCTGTTATTTGTTTATTTTGTATGGTGTTCATGTTTGAGACATCAGGTTTTGAAGTGTGGCCTATTAGAGCTTGCTTTGGAGTTAGATGCTGATTTGAATCCTGTCCTTCCACCCTTGATTCAATTGAACAGGAAAGAGGGGGCTAATACCTTCTCTCTTCAGGGTGTAATGAAGACTGAGTGAAATAAAAATTAGAACCTAGCATATGGTAGATGCTTAACAAAGGATAGTGTTTACTACATGTGGGTTAGAGGAAGAATTTTCTTCTTTTTTTAAATATAGTTAGCCTTGTCACTGTGAATTCTGTAGAAATGATGATGTAGAATTTGAGTATAGGATTTTAAAGCTGAAGAAATTTTTACAGATTATGCAGGTTAAGCCTCCTTGTATTATAGGCCCAGATCACTAAACACCTTGCCAGTATTGCAGAGTTGGGACACTTTTATCTTGTCATTGAATAGAACAACATATCTTTTACATTATGATTTCAAAATAATGTTTGAATGTCACTTGTGTGTATTGTATATATAAATTGACAGGAAAAAGAAGCTTTGCCTGAGTGTATACACTCAATATGGAATAGTAATTTGTCTTCTGAAGAAAATCAATTTACTCTTGAGTTACAGCATGAATAAAACTTATTTCACCTCATTCCATCAGGAAATTCAATAATTCAGCTAGACACAATGGTGCACACCTGTAATCTTAGCTATTCAGGAGGCTGAGGCAGGAGCATTGAAAGTTCCAGGACAGCCTCAGCAATTTACCAAGACCTTGTCTCAAAATAGAAAATAAAAAGGACTGGGGATGTAGCTCAGTGTCAACCCCTGCTACTACAAAAGAAAAGTCATAGGTCACTAATTTAGAAGTATTATAGTGCATCAGTGGAGTATATAGTATAATATTAGATGCTTTAATTAATGGTTTAATTTGGATAGGATATTACCAAGTTTGGAATCTCTAACTTCTATATTATCATTTAGTTTCCTCCTTTTTCTACAAGATTAAATCATATTCTTTTCATTGTGGTTTTCCATATTTCTTGCTTTTCTCATCTTTTTCCAATGGAAGGCCTCTTTTCTTTGAATTCTACCTATTTTTCAAATCGATCATCAGTGTCTTCCCTAACTTGCACCCCTAACTTCTTTCCCCTTTCAGCTGTTTTTGTATTTTAACTAGATTGTGCTTTGATTATGCTTTGTACTATTTATATATAGATATATAAACATCTGTATATAAATATTTATATCTATATATATTATTCCTCTATTAAAGTGTCTTTTGATCAAAGGTGTTTTGGATTTTGGGGGTTAGGGTTTTTTTTTTGTTGTTTGGTTGTTTGTTTGCTTGCTTGTTTGTTTTTGTTTTGGTACTGGGGATTGAACCCAGGGGTGATGAGCATCCCCAGCCACCCCTGCCCTCCCTTTTTTTTTTGAGACAGAGTTTCAGTAAGTTGCTTAGGGCCTCACTAAATTGCTAAGGCTGGTCTCAGACTTGCTATACTTAATGTTTATAAAATTAATGCTTTTATTTGAAAGAAATCAGATCTATAATCATAGCAACTACAAATATTAGGTACTAAGACTACTTTTTCAGGATATTAGAAAATTTTCAGATTTACTGCTTTCACAGTTCCCTCTGGCTTTTTAAAAATTTTTTTTCTCTTTTTTTCAAGTGCTGAGGATTGAGCCCAAGTCTTCGTATATGCTAAGCATTCACTCTACTACTGAGCTACAATTAGAGAATTATATTGTTGATTGTATATTACCAAGCTTTCATACTGTTAAGAATACTCAGAACCAAATAGTAAATATTTATAATTGGATCATAGGATTGTCAGTTAATTCTAATTCATTCACATTAAACTTTTTATATTTTAGAGTCAAATACTTTGTGATTTCTTTTTTAACTTGATGTACAGAAAGACAATGATTTCTGATGATTAAAGCCTTCTTATCCTTGACATACTTTGCAGGGTACAAATCAACACTATTGTGAAATTCCTATGCAGAATTGTTTTTGGTTTTGGGGAGGGGATTAGTTGTAGATGGACACAATACCTTTATTTATTTGTTTGTTTGTTTGTGTATTTATTTTTATGTGTTGCTAAGAATCAAACCCAGTGCCTCGAGCATGCTAAGCGAGAACTCTACCTATTTGAATTCTACCTATTTTTCTGAGCCACAACCCTAGCCCCCTATGCAGTTTTGAATGTTTATGTGTACTAAGTTTTGCATTTGCCTTTCAATTGGTGCATTCTTTTTTTTCCCTTCAGATTGGTGAATTTTAATGTGTGTGACTTTGCTAAGCAAGGGTAAAAAAACAATGGAAAACTTTCAACAACACTAGGGAGTATGCAATTATATACAGCTACCACAAAATACATTTTGGCATCAGTAGGCAAAATTAAAATCATGCACACATGTCATATGGCCCAACAACTCCACTTGTAGTTACTCTAAGATAACTCCCACATCTGTAGAGAAGAAAACATATTCAAAAATATTTCTGTAGCATCTTTTATAATTGAAAGGGCTTAGCTTTCCCAACTATCCAACATCAATTGGTGCATTCTTTTAAAGGTAGTTTCTTGAAAATTCCAAAAGAAGACTTGAATACATTTGATGGTAAATCATGGGGGTGTTTTCTGTTCTAAAGATAAATTGTGAGGTATGAAAGTTGCTAACATCCAGAAAAAGTGTACAGAATTACAATACTAATTTGATGTCTCTTTTAAGGTCAAACTTTGATGATCTGGCTCAGAAAGCAAAAGGGCTAACAATATAGACACAGCTATACTTTTATTTAAAATTAAGGAGTGTGGGCTTAAATTTAGACTGTTTTAGTTTGATCAAGCACAGTATTATTCCATATTTCTATAAATGTGTAATCTGAAATTCCTATTTGGGTTGATGTTTCACATTCCACATTTATAACCAGGTCAATATCATAACTGGAATGAGTTTTCTCTCTTGGCTTGCCTTGCAGTAACAATGTCGGAGAAGACCATAGTAATGATTTATGTTAAAAATCACTTTTGTATCCAAGCAAATATGTCTTTTTAAGCAGTGTCTGTTGCATACCACATGGCCTTTTTGAGGGTTAATTGTGTTGATTATTTAGGGTGATTTTAAAATGCTAGAATCATTTAAATTTTAAATGCTTCTAGCATTATGAAGGTGTATGCCAAAGAATGTGAATTGATGTTCTTGAAGAAAGGATTTTGTCCCCAAAGGAGCATGATGACCCAAAACAACAAAAACCTCTTGTATTTATACAGTGTTTTAAGCAGGCACTGTTATAATTTTAGACATTTTCAGAATGGAGATATAAAATAAGCTGTGTTTGCTGACTGTAT